AAAAAAAAAAAAAGGAAAGAAAGCCATTTTATTAAATAAAAAAACAAAGCAGGATTTATAGTAAAATCTCAACTTTTGAATGTTTTGAAATTGATGTAAGAGGAGGAAAGAATCATTTTAGGCAACTATATTTTAAAAAGCTCAATATTACAGTATACTCAGAATTTAAAAGTGATGGAACAAATTCAGATAATTGGGCAATAAACAATGGGAAAATTAACCAAAATATATGCAGTGATGGTTAGTCATAGGATCTCAGAAAACACAAGTCTTTTCCATTTTCTGAGATGAATACATTCTAGCATTGTCCTATAACCATATAATTACTTTGTAGCCTGCTACAAAACATTGAAAAAAGCAGTTTGTAACTTGTAGAATTACTGTATAATGTTGCAACTTTCTACATTTAGACCTTCATACATTTAGACCTTACTGAAAGATTTTCCTTGATTTGCCCACCCTATCAAGTACTATCCTTCTAATTTTGCTTACTTGGTAGGAGCATGGTGCCCTGGACATATTGTACAATATATGAATTAAAGGTGCATAGCCTGAAATAAATGAATGATGTTGGTCTCACGAATGAAATGTCCCTTATTCTAGTATTCTGAATCACTGGTAGAAGGAATCTATCTACATCAGGGGTGGACAAGCTGGATCAGGCCCACAGCTGTCTGGGCGGTGCAGTGCAGGTGTAATTGCATCCTCCCTATCCCCCCTGCCACTCCTTTCCTCTCCTACTTCTCCCTTTCCCCCCCCGACCTTATCTCACCCATGGCTGCCCCTGTGGCACTCCACAAGGGGACAAGTCCAGGGCAGTCCATGCCACACTCCTGCCCCCACCCATTGATGGTTCTGGTCAGTGTCCACACCTTCCTGACAGGGCTGCTCCTGCAGCCACCCAGATACTGCTCAGCTCCCCTCGCCTCCAAAGGCTCCTTCTCCTCCTTCCTAGCCCTGCTGTGCCAGTCTTGGTACACACAGAGTGGGGAAGCAACGGCAGTTGTGGGGATGCGTGTCAGGCACCACACACTCAACCAGGTTGGGGGAAGCTGCAGCTAGGTGGCTCATGCCCCAGCATGTGGGGCTCCAGTGCCAGCTGCTGGCTACCTTCCAAATTCTCCTCCCATACAGCACGATGAACACCTGAGGGGGGCCAACTGGGTAGAAGGTGACCAGGAGCTGGAGCTAGAGCCCTGTGTGCTGGGGCAGGAGCTGTTTGGCTGCAGCTTCACCCTGTCTGGCTGGACATGTGGTACCTGGCAGATATCTGCATGGATGTTGCCCTTCCTCACACTACCTGATTCCTGGAGTGGTGCAGCAGGGGCAGGAAGAGGAGGAGCCACCGGAGGCAGGGGGAGTCAAGCAGTACCCAGGCAGCTGCAGCCACACTGGGAGCAGCCCTGCCAGGAAGCTGAGTGTGCTGGCTGGGGCTGTCAGCAGGCATGGACAGGAATGCAGACTGCCCCAGGCTGGACTGGAGGAAGAAAGGGGAACCACACCTGCACTGCACCACCCAGGCGAGCTCTGCTGCATGTGTCCCCTGTTTCCCCCTTCCCCCCCAGCTGGCT